GACATCACAAACATTCAAAACAATTCCAATTGTTTACACACCAGACTCAGGTTTTGCCATATTTGCAATTCAATACTTGCAATACTTACATAGACTTCCTACTGAAAGTTAGCTCTCTGTCAAGAAAAGCCTGGCTTCTAAATACAACAAAGTTCCCCAAAAGAGGGTGGACAGGCAAGACGGGGTGGGGGAGAAATCAAAAGGCTCTCCAGAAAAGCCTCAACTCATCTGAAGTAGAAAAGATGACAGGACTATTCAGTGCTGTTGAGGACACAAACCCTAAGGTGCGACCAGAGATTCTATAGCTGAGCTCTACAGTCCCATCAATTAAATACTTTTTAAACTGTGAGAGGTTAACAGCAACTTCCTCACAGCACTCTCAAACTCCAATGAAGGATCTCTATGCTCACAAGATTCGTATATAGGTATGGATATACCTAGAGTTTTTAGTTACCCTAGTAATTTTCTCTCTATCCCATTTCTAGCTCTCCCACAGCACTGTCCAAAATATTTAACAGCATTTTAACTGAAGAAGCTTAAGAAAGTTTTTTTCCTTCTCTAAGGACTGTAGTTTTACCAAGTTGTGAGCAAAGGGCAGACTCAAAAGTTTATTTTTCAAATCAAGAAATACAGTCAACAGCATGTTTGTCCATTAAACAGAAATGTTTGTAACTCTCCGCCCTCCACTCTGCCCTGCTCAAAGGGAGAGTTGTCAGTTCTTAGCAAATTAAAGTCCCTCAAACAACATTCTATTTGGACTAGGTTACAAAAATAACAAAACCAAGCCACTGATGTTCAGGCACACAAATCCAAAATACATCTTTGTTCTGACATGAAGAGATAAAGACATGAATGCATTTCCTTTTGAAACAAGTTTCCTTGTTTCAAAAGACAAAAATCTCATCACCAAGTCCAAGGACAATCACGTAACAGCTCACACTGTACAAACTGATGTTCCCACAGTTACGAGAATCAATGAAAGCAACAGGCTGATGAGCTTACACAGACGAAACCCAGAAGACTTAAGTGGCTCAGGATCCAACCAAAATGGTGCTCTGATGGTTTCCTCAAAGTTATTTTTAGCACTTTCCTCAGTTTTCCATCTAATAAATATTAGTCTTAAATCTCTCAAACTAGTTATGAAAACTAACACTTTCTGACATGTTGAAGCCTATGTCATGATTAGATCATTAAGATATATTAATCTACTAATAATCATATATATTAATCTACTATTTATGACAGTATTTTAAAAATCCTGGTCAGCAAAACCAAAGACATCAGAATTTGAATACTCTATAGTGTGCAAGGAGCTATCATTTCCAAAGGTCAAAATTTTACCTTCAGCTGCAGTATAAAGACTTCTAAGTTTTCAGTTAGAACACTTTAAAATGGTCTATTTTTTATTTCTATATGAAGTTTGTCTGAAGAGTAACTTACTTATGCAGAAATCCACAGACTACAGCATGGATATTTTCAACAGGAACAATGGGAAGTGAGTATTTATTTCCTACTTGTACCTTTGAAAATACTTCCCATCTATCCAAAATAAATTAAGTCTACTTAATTATAAAACAGTATTAAGGAACCAATTTTAAATTGTTTTCAATCAAATAAGTGATCAGGGTATATATTTAAAGAAAAGTTTTGGTTTCGAGCCCATCCAACTGCCTTCATAAATTAAAATACTTCAATAAATCTGAAAGATTATCACTTGCATATAAACAATACAACCAGAAGTCCAACATAGCAGTGTAACTGTACTGTGATTAAAGAGAACCGGTCATCTGGAGCTTTACAAAACCCATATTCCCTAAAAAATAAAGAAAAATAAAAAAAACATCTAGCTGAGGACAAGAGGCTGTTATTTCACCCCAGTTTCAGGAACTGAGCATTTGTTCTAATAAGTCAGTACTTGGTTTCCTAACTACTTCCCAAATTGCAGCCTTCGCTGCAAGGATTGAAAATCCCACCCATCACCTACATGTCTCAAGAATCAGGTGTTAGTGAGAATAAAAGGCATCAGTACTGTCACACTGTGCTCTGAAGACTATCATTCACTTAAGTCATGGTATACGTTTTGCTGCTTTCTGGACTTACATTACATTAATCCTGCCTATGATCATAGCATTTGGTCTGCCAAATGCCACTTTCCTTTTTCTCTTGCATTCCTCCTATGATTTACTTCATGTTTACTGCTTCACATTAAGCTCCTTCTGCAGCTTTTCAAGCTCCTTCTCTCACAAAACAACATAATATTGTACTTCGAACCTGGAACACTAAAGATAATGCCTTAAAGCATCTCTTGCCTTACACTTGAGACAATGCATAGTTAAAGATGACTGTATAGGCACCAGACTGGATGTAGGGTAGGTATAATACAGTAAAGTTCCTCCTTCATAAAAGAAGCCACACAAATCAACTTAACAGACATAAATCATTAAAGCAAACAAAAAAAAATAAAAATTGTGTGTCTTAAGAGCTACAGCTGTACATGAACACATAAATGGAAAGAATGTAGAAGCAGATACTGCACTGGTGTACAAAAAAAATCCAAGAAATCCTAAACATAGCGGCTTTTAACATAAATTAACACATGCCCTGTTTCTCTTCCAGAAGAGCTGGAATATGCTAATAGAATTTCAGTAAGAAAATAAATCCTTAAATGCATTGTGCAGAGATATATAACTCCACCTACTACATTTGTCACTTATGTTTCCAGTCACTGTAGATCAGGTTTTGTTTCCCTATCTCTTCCCCAGTCCCTATTTTCAATATTTTCTCTGCCCTAGGCAGTCACAGCGATTTTCCCAGTGACAAAGAACTGGCCATATCACCTGCATTGCTTTGCTCAGCATCAGAATAAAAGTTAAAGAAAAAAAAAACCTACTACCCTCCCCACCCCCACCATACACAATCCAAAGCGAAGTAACAGGGTCATCCTTCATCATAAGCTATCTTAGAACAACAGTGCAAAACCAACAGCCTTAGACTTAGAGGGAAACAGAGCAGTAGTGTTACTGCATCCCTGACTGAGGAATAAAAAAAAATAAATTAAATCCCAAACTATAACAACAGATCATGTACCAGTTACAAGGAAAGATAGTCTCTCTTCTTGTCAGGTCTGATAAAGGAATCATGCATGTGAAAGCTTGCACCATTATGCCAACTATTTTACTCTAACAAAAGACAGTACCTGTCACACAAAGCCTGATTAACTAGAAAATTTGATTTTCCTAAAAATAATAAAAACAGATCTTGCCTATAATTCACACATGGAAGGTTTCTAAACAGATGCTCAGAGCTTCGAATTGGGAATAAATCCCTATTATACATCAGGTTTTTAACTGAGCAGATCCTGAAGTCTTGTGCCTCCCAAAGACAATGTGCTGTCCCATACAACTGTAAGCACAGTACACAAAAGATTTCAGAAGAATTTAGCTCTATAAATTTCTGATGACTCCAGTACACACCAAGTGCAATGAATATACAATTTTAGAGAGCCTGAAAGCAATGTTGCATTTCTTAAATGATCCACTATGATTTCTACAACAACATAGTAATATAAGTTATTAAATAACTCAGACTTAACTAGATTGTGTATTAAAGCTTGGTTGTATTATTTTGGGCAAGATGAACCAAATCCTTCGAATATAATAATGGTGGCTTTAAGAATAAATCTCAACATTAACTTTGGATAGATACAACCAGTATCCCTGAATTTCAGAGTTATATTTCAAAACTTTTTCAGGCAAGAAATGAAAGAATCCAAATTAAATAACGAAATGTGTAGTTTCATGTGATAAGCTTTCATAGTTCAGAGATACATACAAACATTGAGATAAGCATTTTTTTTCTATCTAGAAACTAGTAGAGCCACAGAGTCTAAACCAAAAATTATCAGATAAGGACATTGCATATATTTAGCACAGCTGTATTTAAATTTTACAAAACACCTCAGAGAATGTCAGGGTTGTTTTCAGTTTTGTTTATATTCATTTTTTTTCCTTATATTGCAGCTATGGTGCAGAAGAATGGCAACTTGTTAGCCAAACTCATATTTAAAGGGACATCACAGCCTGCCAATTCTTGAAGTCTTCCCCACTAGTGGAAAATTACGACAATTGCTTATCTTTTAGTACTGGGTTACAGTAAGGTCTGAAACAAGTGTTTTGTCAGTGCTCTAAGCTAATTTGTACTTTTAAGTTATTACAGTTGACAGCTGCTCAAAATACTGTCACTAATAATTGTCAGTTCTGAAGACGCCCATTTTAATAATCTGAGGAAGAATTCCACATTAATGCTGAAGTTGTAAGTAATTCAGGCCACGTATAGAGAGCTGCAAAGATCCCTGCCAGGAATTTCTGCACATCTGCCCCTGCATTACTGCGTTGCAGTAGATCAGTCACTTCTTACGACAATGTTAACTTCCTTCTCCTTAGCAAATTTTATTAGTTGCATAGAAGTTAATACTACATAAAACGGACCATGAAGAACTAAGGGGCACTATGAGGCTCCACGAAATTATGACATTTGACATAAGAAGGTCCAGATTTTCTTCCAATCTCAAGCTCCTAAATTAAAGTGTACATGAAAAGTAAAGCACTCATTTACACGAGGATTTATTTTTTAAACAGCAGCCACGCAAGACTCATCTAGAAGAAGAAGATCAAGAATTCCTAGGGACCATAACAAATACTTTTTTCAGGAACCAGAAGTTCCTCGAAACTGGTATCAATCTCTGCCCAACTACCCACGGCAATCCAAGAAAACTTATGCGTTACACATGTTACATTGTTCAAGTCATGAAAGCTCTCGGACCATCACTAGATGTATCTATGCATCCTTAGAGTGTTCCCCATCGTGCATTCATTAGATAAAGTGCCTGGAGAGGCAACTGTGAAAGGCAAGGAATTTAGGAGCGATATAGCCTTCCAAGAAATGCACCTACGAGATCCACAAACAAAGCTAAGGTTAGCTGATTTTCCCCGCGTTATTACCGACATATCTGTCGTATTAAAACTTCCATGTCACCAAGGTTACATAAGGCCTGCATACCAAGTTCATCGTGCAAACTGCTACCGCCTACAGCAGATGCAGTGGCATGTGATGCTTCTAAGTGGACACTGCCGTTTCTCACCAGGAAGGAGGCACTAGCGCCGGGCACAGCGGCCTGGGCAGGGGGGCGGGACTGCGCTCTGCCCTGGGAGGAGGGCTGCTGGCCTTGCTGACCATCTTGAAGGCTACGAGAAAACACGGATTGGGGACACATTACCAGGAAGAAGAGAAAAATAGCTAGGAGTGAAGCAAAACAAGACTTTTTAGTTGAAAGAGGAAAACTTTAAGTATATAGCTTGAAGAAGCCACTTAATTAGGGTTAAGAGAACTCATGAGTTCTGTGTAACAGTATGTGGGCGCTAGTTTTGTCAGCAATCTAGAGATACAGTTCCTGTCCTACTTCTCAGAAGTACTACTGCTTTCTAACATCTCCCCAAGTCACTCTCAAGTATATTCTTGTAAGTCTTAATTTGTGGGTGCAAAAGCAAATTACTGGTGGTTATAACTGTAGGCTAACCCGAGGCATCACCTATGCAAAGCAGTGACTATTGCAGTCTGCTCACAGTATTTAGGGTTCTTTTTGCTCCTTGAGGCATGACTTCATCAACTGTTTAGTCGGCCGCTCGGGCTTTTTTTGGTCACAATAACATCACCTTTCTTGCTATTAATCTGCACTCTTAACTAGAAAATGTCTAAGTTTTGTTAGTAGCCATACACTGCCACAGACCCTGTAGATAACTGATTAAACGTTTGGATTCAGATTTTTTTTTTAACATATTAACAATGCTTATAACATATTATTAATTGGTAAAAGCTTTAAGTCTATTTTGAAGTTATTTTGGCAGTACAGTAAAAACTTTATAACTCAGTGTTACTACCGCAAAGAAATTCTTCTATACCCAGACACCTACCTGCACCAAAAAACAGGTTTTAAAAGCCAACTTGGGCTTCGGAGAAATTTATAATTTTACAGCCATATCAGTAGTCAATGCTTGAAAACTGTTAGTTCTCCTTTTCACAGCCTTCTCATTGCAAAACAATTTTATAAAGCTATTTAACTAAGTTAGATTTTTTTTTTATTATTAAACATGGCAGTGTCAGAATATACAACATTTACACTTGAATATCACATCTACTTTGCAAGATTAGTGTTTTTATTATCCTTCATTTTGTGCATTTAAAGACGTTACATGTCATAATCATTAGCTGTGGGATGTGATGAAGTTAAATTTTTTTTTTGACGGATAAAATCATAATTTATATTTTCAAGACTACAGAAAAGATCTTAAACACTCTTTTGAAAAACAATCTTTATCACCTGTTGCTTTTACATTTCACTGTTTACTGTGTGATGCTACAGTTGACAAGTGAGGCAACTGAAAAAGTAAGATCTTACTAAGAGTTGAGGAGTTACATCTTATGTACTTGCTTTTAACAATATTTTCTAGGACATCTACTTTTCAGTTCTTTTGTTAGAGTACCACTGGAAAACAAAATATAGATATAAGAATAGCTGTTTAAAAAGCTCATGCAAAATAAAGCAGACATGCACACAGGTCATGAGGTAAAAAAAAAAATTCTCATCATTATTTATCATATCGTAACATTTTAATCTGAACTTTAAATTCAGCGTTTTGTTGCTGTACACAAGGCTTTCAGAGAGCTACACAGTAACAAAAGCCCTAAGGAAGCTCACAGATGCACCATCCATCATTATCTCCCTTAAGCATTATCAGCAACACCAAAGCAATGAAAAACAATACTACTTTCCCTTAAACAATAGCTACTATTAAAAGGTATATATAAAGTCGCCCTTTCAGTGGTTATCCACATCTGTCACAATAAAAAAAAAAACCACCACCACACACTGACATTAACGGATTGGACAAATATGCAAAACATAGATTTATTTTCCACCTAATTGGTAATTATAGAAATAAAATTCTGCTTCAGACAGTCACTTACGTTCTCCTATCAGACACACATGCATACACCATTGACTGCATCGGATGCCAATGCATACTTATGTTTAGAATGCCCAAAACACTGCTGACGTTTAGGCAGGACAAAAGCAGGGGTGGTTGGTTGTTTCATGGTGGGTGTGGGAGTTTGTATATAAGTTACCAGGCAAAGTACTCCTGTGTCTAATTTAGCATCAAACCAGCAGAATTTACTAGACCAGGTTTTATTTAAGTGTCTGCCATTGCCAAACACATACATAAAGCCATTGCCTCTCTTATTAAACATTGCACAGAGGAAGTGAAAGTAATCACAATAATGGGTAAGAAATTTAAAAATAATAAGTCAGGTTGAACTCAACAGGTTCTAAGGGAACATCCCCACAACATTCAATTTTATGCTATAGTTAGAAGATTAGGAGATTCAATTTTGTTGTCAAGAATAAGAAAGAAGTAATATCAAGGCAACTAAAGATTAGTAAATCTAATACTGTTAGAAGTTTAACATCTGAAGTCATATGGATTAGCAATATGAGGAAATAGACTGATGCAGCTCATCACTAGCATATACAAGTAATGCCAGTACAGTTGCGGTGATATTTTGAAAAGATCTGGGCGGCAACTGGCTAAAAAATATCTCTGTATTTCTTCACATCTCTTCCCTATGCACAATTATTTTTTTAAAAATCTTTTTAAGGGTTTCTTCTTCCAGCAACACATAGAAGTTACATTAAAATTAAGCTACTCATATAAAGGAAAGTATTCTCAGACTATTCGTCTACAAATCAAAACACTAAAATACAACTTTTCAGATAAATTCCATTTGAGCTACCAACAGTGTAATCTATGTCAAACAAGTTTGAAAGCACTTTGGTGTTTGGTTGGACTAATGCAATTTAACTCCACTCCAAGGGACAGTCATTTAGCATCACAAACAATGCTTTGAGCAAAGCAACCTCACTAAGTATTCAATTCTGAACATATGTTTATAATACAAGTATTTTTGATAACATGTCATTATGCCAGAGTTTTTTTTGGTTTTTGTTTATTTAGAAAGGAACAAATTTAGATAACTGGAAGATGCATAGAGTAAATACACGGGTAGAATATTTGATCCGCTTTTTCACCTTTGGACATCTTGTCTGACTAAAAAGTTACTTCCACTACCTTCAGTTTTCTCATGATCTCTTGCTCAAGTCCAGCTTAAGTCATGGGAACCTTAACGACTGCACTAGCATGTGAAAATGAGGCAGCTGTCAGCCTCAGTTTAAAACAGAGTCCTTTATTTGCTCTACTTTCTACTTAAGAGAAAGAAAACTCATGGTTTTCCGGCTAACGCACAGTTAAGGAGCTCTGATTAGTCTGCACAGCCTCTTCTGAATCAATGCACAAAACTATACTATTCTCCTTTTAAAAAAAAAAAACGACAAAAAAATATCAGAAACGTGAATGCAACAGAGAGCAGAGCAAAACCGATCTAAGAGAATTCAAAGTCTTAGCATCCCCCACTGTGAAGCAAATCGCTAACTTAAAGTTGAACAAGCCACATTCAGCAAGACCAGAAGCCTAACAAAAAATTACCCGAAACGATGTGACTACTGCTACATACTGCACTGGCCAGTAAAAACACATCTAACTCGTTTCAGTCCTTCATGATGTAGAAGTCGATCCTTCATATGCTAGATTTTTAGGTACCATTCTTGCAATCCTCCTGCCTGAGGAAAATTTGCAAACTTAGTCCTAGATTATTTCAGTGGTGCCACAAAGGTGGCACAATTCCTCCCCTATATTCTACTGTAATGCATTTTCTTTTCATTTGCTCAGTTTCTACAGCTTTTTCCAGTTAAAAAAACTACACAAGTACTCCTGAACGCAAGAGCAGATTGCTCCTACTATTAAGAGATAGCTTAATATATCAAGGAAGATCAATAAGAATACACAACATATACAATTCTTCCTGCGTATTTATCATCTAACTGGAGGAAGAATTACTTTGATATGCAGGGGTGAGCGTTCCTTCCTCTACAGGCAGTGTTCTGCTCACCAGATTCTCCAACACCATAGGCAACCACAGGATTGAAAGATTTAAAAAGCAAGTTTAAAAACTTATTGTGGTTGCTTCTTCTACTGTTCAAGCTGACAGACCAGAGTTACTGTATGTAACATATCACTAGGCTCAGTATTGTTAACAAACGGGCCAGTGAAGGTTGGGGACTCCTGGGATACATGTATATAGTACACTTTAAAAATTGCCAAGGCATGCAAAGTGCCACACAATTAGATTTAATACTGAGCAATACTGTGCATTTTGTAACAAAGGCATCACTATTACTTCATTATTTCTCTTTTGCTGCAAAAAGCTGCAGGATGTTCATACAATGGTTTACCTGTATTTTAGATTTGGAACATTTGCACATACGATTTAGCTCTTTATAATGTTCTGCCATTTTGTTCTCATGATAATCTCTCGCTATCTACAGATGTGAAAAGTGATTACAGTACAAGTCCCTAATGCTTACTTTCTTAAAGGAAAGAAAAACAAAATGAGGAGTGGTGAATGATATTTTCTTGAGTTTTTCTCCTTGCTTGAAATTAAAAGTTTAAGAAGTTTTTAATAAAATAAAGAGTCTAAGTTTGTTAGCATTAGTTCGTTATCAATCTGAAATCAGCCGTAACGTGTTAGAGACTGGCTATCCTGATAGTTTTGAAAATAGTGCCACATATACATGCACAATTCAACAAGCCCACAGTGACATGCAGTGACAGCTCAAGGAGGTTATGGTGGGGAAGGAAGTCAAAAGTGCTTTTCTGGCAACACTGGTAGGTGTGGGGAGAAGTGGTCTGCTGCATGCATGCTAAATATGGTGGAACATTTAGATACCCTACCTGAGGGGTGATCCGATGAGCAATGTAGGAGGGGTAGGGTTACTCCCTGCATTGTGCCGGCGTCGTACTGCCTGACGCCTAAATGTGCTGCGTTCACGACGAAATGTGACAGTCTCCTCGCTGGCTTGTGCTGCTGCATCAAGACAGACTTTAGGTCAAATAAGAACCCATCCTAGTTACGTACACAGTAACTTAAGACTCCTTCCTTCCCCCTGACCCTCCCCAAGTTAATGAACTTGACTTACAACAACAAAAGTAGCTTATCCACTGACTGTTAAAATAACCTGCCTCAAAACAGGATCACAACACACAATGATAAGTAAAAATCTGGATGGTTGGGTGTTTGGGGGTAGGGTGTGTGTGTTCTTGAATATACAGCTTACTTTGCTTTTTTTTATCCCCAGATCCAAGTAGCCAGGTTGCAAAAAAAACTGGATATCCCAAATCTCTTCCATTTACACAGGGCAGGAAGAGACAAGATTGATCTCACCCATTTTCTCACTTAATAGATAATTAAAGGAGAAGCCTAAAGGACAACCTAGAAAGGTTTCTGCCACTCCTTGTAATATTCTCTTCTCAATTTCATTCTCAATTTTATAATTTCTGCCAAACAAGTAGGATTGAGGTTAAGGTTAACCTCATCAAACCTCAAGGGACAAAATATATATTTTTTTTCTTTTTCCTCATAAGCACCAAGGGATACACATTGCTCCTTTTAAGACTAGTCACACTATGATTTTGAGGAGCAAGGGGTGGAGACTGAGAGAATAAATTCTTTGTAATGATTGATGTTTTTGTTATTTCAACTCCCAAACAAAAACAAACTAAAAAAAGTTTAGTCCACTTATAAAGCAACATTGTAAAAAACAGTTATGTACTCAAAAGAGTGTAAGATTTTTCCACAGATTAGCCCTCCAAAAATCCACCTGTGCTCCCTAGACTTTACAATCTGAACAACTTCAGATTTGGACTGCTTCATGATGTGTCTACAATCTGAGTCTTCCTCCTCAACCAAGGAAGCTACTGCCCAACTTGAATGCAGACCACTAGAGAGCTCAAATGAACGGGTCACAGAAAATAGGTCTTGGCAGGCAAGTGAAAG